CCATAATAAGGAGTATACCATAATTCCCATAGTTTAGGGTCCTTAAGGTAATGCAGGATTTATATCAAATAACTGTATGTCTCCCAGTAGTGAACCTGCTTGAATCCGCTTGCCCTCTCTGTCTTCGGTTCTTGAGGCAGTACGAAAAAACGGCGCTCTTACAACTAAGGGGCTACCTGGGAACCTAGTCGAGCAGCCAGGGTTCGAGTCACCAAGGAGCCGTCAAAGAAAGGAATATGTGAACACAGGTTTAGGGTTTAGGGTTGTGTAGTCTGTGTTTGATATACCTTGGGCACGTTTGGTAAACCATACCAACTAAGCCCCATCATGTCCCCCAAAGTCTTACAAAGCCCGTTACGCCCACCAAAGCGAAGTATAGTGTAGGATATTCAATGGGTGGTGTCACTTCTTTGGTTCTTTCGACCACCTTTTCACAGAGCTCGAAGGCGCCTGCAACCACCGACGCAAACAGAAAACTTGAAGCCCTCACGTGCACATGCACATGCACAAGGACATACGCATACAGATACACACATACACACATACATACGTACATCCATACATACATACGTACACACGTACATACGTACATACGCGCATACATACAGCTATATACATACACACGCGCACACACATACGCACATCTACTTATATGTGCATTGAGCCGTTGAGCGACTTGGGTCCGAAACCGCGTGCTCGCATCAGAGCTCTGAAAATCAAAATCAACCCCTTGAGCCCTAGGCCTAGGCTCTGATGAAACCTGAGACTTCATCCTCAACCCTAAACCCAACTTCCGAAACCCTAAATAAACCCGGTGCCCTAAATCCTATACTATACTATACCCTACACCCTAAGCCCTCAAGCTCTAGCATGATGCCGACAACCTGACACAGCTAAGGACATGCCCATAAATCCTAAAACCCTAAAGCCTGCGCCCCTTGACCCTTACATGTTCAAGATCGACGTCTGAATGTCTACTTACATTATTCCAAAAGGCTCCTCGTGACCAGTTTGGTATAGTATGTCCCAAAACCCTCGTCAAGGTATTAAGGTGCCGTATGTTCGCTAAACCCAACCAAAGGGTCCAAGTAATGGTATAGTATATACTGTTGGGAGCCCAAAAATCTACTATAGCAACTATATTGGTACTTGGACTCTCTGGGCCATGATGCAACCCTATAAGCCCTAAACCCTAAACCCCTAAACCCTAAACCCAAAGCCCTGAACCCCAAGGCAACCCTAAACCAAGCCAACCAACCTAAGCCCTGAACCCCAAGGCAACCGTAAACCAAGCCACCCAACCTAGACCCAAAGGCAACCCTAAGCCCTAAACCCTGAACCCCTAAGCCCTAAACCCCTAAACCCTGAACCCCTAAGCCCTAAACCCCTAAACCCTAAACCCTAAACCCTAAACCCTAAACCCTAAACCTGGTGATTTCTCAGGCTCTTCGAAGTCTTCAGGGCGCCGGGTTGAACAGGGCTGCAGAGATTGCGGTTTCGGGTTTTGGGGGGTTAGGATCTCGAGCCCTAATCCCTAAACCCAAAACCCTAAACCCTAAACCCTAAACTCTAAACCCTAAACCCTAAACTCTAAACCCTAAACCCTAAACCCTAAGCCCTAAACGCCCCAGTCGTCCCCATGGATGGCGCGACACTTTGGGCGGCTGAGGACAGCCAGAGACTTCAAAGTTTAAAGCATTAGGGTTTAGGGTTTAGGGTTTAGGGTTTGGGGTTTAGGGCTTAGGGTTTAGGGCCCCTAGGACCCCAAGCCCTAAGGCGTTTGTACCTTTGTTTCTCTTGCTACCCCGAGGCCCTCGTCTCTGGGTTTATTTCTGTTTTTTTTTGGTTTTTGGGAATTTCCCCTAAACCCTAAACCCTAAACCCTAAACCCTAAACCCTAAACCCTAAACCCTGGCTGTTGACAGCACCTTGTTCTCTGCACCAGGTCCAGCCCCGGCCTTTTCGATTCTGGCTTGCATCTGGTATCTTCAGCCCCTCTACGCCCCCAAACCCCGAAGCCTTACCAACCCTACTTGTCAGGATCGGGAAAAGGAGCAATAGTATATCGAATAATGTCCTTGTGTTTCTTTATATACGGCTACTAACGCCTCCTACATGTATAGTAAACCTAGAGCCCTCAGCGACCGTCCGTTTCGCACAGCTTCTAGCACAAGACAGGCTACGGCGCCGGAGATCCCATCAGATTGGGATGGCGTGATGTAAGGAAAGACAACAACGATAGGGTTTAGGGTTTAGGGTTTAGGGTACCCTAAACCCCTAAACCCTAAACCCTAATACTATTCTACTGCCGCAGTCCGAGGATAGTTGAGCTAGCTGTGAGTAATGTGGGCTCTATTGTTTGAAGCGTGGCCTCCTAGTCCCTACCCTAGCTGGTCGTGTGAGATGCTTTTGAATATCCGCCGCTCCACAGCCTCGCAGCATGGCGAGCATCATCAGCATCAGCT